GTACATTGTATCCCCTTGTTCTATTTATTTTTTAAGTAAATGTTTGTACCTTTTAACCTCTACCCCTATTTCCTCTATCCTCCCTACCCCCACCCCTCTGGCAACCACCAGATTATTCTCTGTATCTATGAGTCTATTTCTGTTTTGTTTTATTCATTTGTTTAGTTTTTTGGATTCCACATATAAGTGAAATCATACATATTTGTTTTTTTCTCTCTGGCTTATTTCATTTAGCGTGTGGACCCTCAGTGTCCATCCATGTTTTTGCAAATGGCAAGATTTCCTTCTTTTTTATGGCTCAATAATTTCCTTTGTGTGTGTGTGTCTGTGTGTGTGTGTGTGTATGTGTATATATATATGACCCTGAACAATGCAGTCGTTAGGGGCATTGACCACTCCTCTGTGGTCAGAAATCTCCATATTACTTTTAACTCCCCAAACATTTAACTACTATTATTAGCCTACTGTTGACTGGAAGCCTTACTAATAGCATAAATAGTTGATTAACACATATTTTGTATTTATATGTATTACATGATGTATTCTTACAATAAAGTAATCTAAGAGAAAAGCAAATGTTAAGAAAATCATAAGGAACAGAAAATATACTTACAGTACTGTACTGCATTTATTGAAAAAAGTCCACATATAAGTGGATCCAAGGCTGTTCAAACCTGTGTTGTTCAAGGTTCAATTGTATACCACATCCTCTTCACCCATTCATCTATCAGTGGACACTCAGGTTGCCTCAGTATCTTGGCTATTGTAAATAATGCTGAAGTGAACATAAGGATGCATATTACTGAATCTGGGTTTTGTTCTTTGTAGTTCCTTTAGGTGTAGAATTAGATTGTTTAGTTGAGATTTTTCTTGTTCCTTGAGATGGCTTTGCATCACTATATCTTATCTCTTAGAATTGCTTTTGCTGTGTCCCATAGATTTTGGAGCATGGTATTTTCATTTGTCTCAAGGTATTTTTTGATTTCCTCTCTGATTTCTTCATTGACTTTGTTTAGCATTGATTTTGTTTAGCTTTCACATGTTTGTGTTTTATAGTTTTTTTCTGCTTCAACAAAATGAAACAAAACAATTTTCTTCTGCTTGATTTTTAGTTTCATACTGTTGTGTTTGGAAAAGGTGCTTGATACGATTTCGGTTTTCTTAAATTAATTGAGATTTGTTGTGTGGCTTTTGTATGATCCATCCTGGAGAATGTTCCATGTGCACTTGAAAAGAATATGTATTCAGCTGTTTTTGGATGGAATGTTTTGTATACATCTGTTAAGTCCATCTGGTCTAATGTGTTTTTAAGGCCAGTGTTTCCTTATTGATTTTCTATCTAGATCTCTTCATTGATGAAAGTAGAATATTAAAGTCCCCTACTGTTATTGTATTACCATCTCTTTATGTTTGTTAATATTTGCTTTATGTATTTAGGTCCCCCTATGTTGGATTCATTGATATTTATAGATGTTCTATCCTCTTGTTTGATGTATGTAATCATTATGTAATGCCCTTTATTGTCACTTGTTACAGTCTTTTAAAATCTATTTTTTTTTTTTGCTATAAATATTGCCACCTCAGCTTTCCTTATGTTTTCCATTCGCATGGAATATCTTTTTCCAGCCCTTCACTTCACTTGTCTCTGTGTGTCTTTAGGTCTAAAGTGAGTTTCTTGTAGGCAGCATATAAATGGGCCTTGTTTTTTAATCCATTCAACCACCCTATGTCTTTTGTTTGAAACATTTAGTTTATTTACGTTAAAAATAGTTATTGATAGATGTGTACTTACTGCCATTTACTTGATTGTTTTCTGTAGTTTGTAGTTCTTCTGTGTTACTGTTTTCTTCTTTTGCTCTCTTCCCTTGTGATTTACTGACTTCCTTTAGTGTCATGCTTATATTCCTTTCTCTTTATTTTTTCTGTACCTATATAGGTATTTGGTTTATAGGTACCATTAGGTTCATATATAACATCCTCTGTATCTAGCAGTCTGTTTTAAATTGAAGGTTCAAGCACATTCTCAAAGCACTGCATTTTTTATCCCCCTCCCCAACATTTTGTTTCTGATGTCATGTTTTACATCTTACTATTTTGCTAATCTCTTGACTAATCATTGTCCTGCTCAGAGGGGAGCCTGCTTCTCTTTCTCTCCTCTCTGCTTGTGCTATCTCTGTCTCTCTCAAATAAATAAAATCTTTAAAAAGAAAAAAGAGGAGTTGGGTTCTTTATCTTCCTGCTCTGCCATCTTGATCCTGCCCCCCATAATATTTTTTTAAGATTTTTTTCATTTATTTTAGAGAGGGTGTAGAGGGAGAAGGAGAGAAACCCAAGCAGACTTGGCACTGAGCCCAGAGTCAACACAGGGCTTAATCTCATGACCCTGAGCCGAAATCCAGAGTCAGATGCTTAACCAACTGAGCCCCCCCATAAGTATTTTAAAAGGCATTTATCTATATTTTTACTACTAATATTAGTAATATCGTTCATCATTCATTCTTTCTATTATCATTTTCTGAAAGTTTTTTATTTTTTTAAATATTTTTTTAAAGATTTATTTATTTGAAAGAGAAAGAGAGAGTGAGCAGGGGGAGGGGCAGAGGGAGAGAAGCAAACTCCCCACCGAGCGCAGAGCCTGACCGGATCTCATTCTTGTGACCCTGAGATCATGACCTGAGCCAAAATCAAGAGTCAGATGCTTAACTGACTGAGCCACCAGGTGCACTTGAAAGTCTTTTAAAGCATCATCAGCATATGTTCTTTGTGATAGGACCTTTTTTTCTTGTGGTGTGTTCAATTGGATAGATCTTAAATCTGTTTTATAATACAGTAATAGTATGTTCTATCAATGAAATTTGTTTTTTGTGTCTTTTTTTTTATAGAACATACAGTGGGAGAGGTTATTAAATTAGATCCTGGTGGATCTCCAAGAAAAGTCTGGGGGAGAAGCCCTACAGATTCAGTTCTAAAGATACTTGGAGAAGCTGAACTACAACTTCAGACAGAACTATTGGAAAACACAACTGTTAGAAGTGGTAAGCAGAAACAAAGTTGTTTTTCTGTACTAGAAGTAATGTTATTAAAATTCAAATTATATTTTTAAGATGTATTTAAGTGAATTATTTATGATAGATTATCTTTTTGTCATAATAATTTTCTAGTTAGGTGGAAAATAGTTATATTTCTGAGGAGTTGTCTCAAAATAGTAGTCTTGGATTTTGACCTGACATAACCTGGATGGGATCTTAAAAGAAAAGGAAAAGGAAATGTGTTTAGGGTGAGCCAAAAAAGTAGAACAGTCAAAAAAACATCATTTTACATGAAGAAAGATAATAGGAGCAATGCATGTGGATTCTGGAATTAAGTTGAATAAAGATATCTGTAGTAGTTATGACAGACATTATCCAAGGACTTGGGGAGGATGAATTGTGAGGCAGGAGGAAAACATTTATTTTCCCAAAGTATTGTGGGTCTTGGTATTACAGCTATGCATATGAAGAGTGTCCATGTATAAAATATAGAGAGGCTGAACATGGTTTTCCTTTTTTCAGAATTTGTGTCTAGACATGAATGTATGTCACTCCTATGTTCTCTCTCAATCTGTCTCTTTTTTCCCTGTCTCTTTTTAACTCTATCTCTGTCAACTTTGTGCATACTTTTATCCTTGCCTTTTCATGCAATATTATCACTTACTTGTTTTCATTTGTGTCTGTCCTGAGAGCAAGGATGATCTTTTTACTCTTTGTAGCTTCAATGCTTAACACATAGTAGTAGGAACAGCTAATTAGTGTTCCATAAATAGTTGGTAAATTGAAGTTAAAAAAAGTAAGACAAGTCATAAATTACTTCTCAGTTCTAGTTCTCTGAAGATGGATTATTTAAATATGGAGACTATTGAATATAGAGAATTATTGGAATTAGAGTGATGCTCACATTTGAAACTGACAAAAAATAACACAGGAGGTAAGGTTATTCACAGTGTGTATAAAGAAATTAGCCAGATACTAATATGCCAGTGAAATAAACCTGTACACATGTTATTAAAGTGTAAAAAGTAGATTGCTTTTTTTATTTTACTAAGGGTGAATCTACTAGCTATTAATCATTCTAGCATTTTCTTTAAAAAAAAAAAATTTGAAGAGATGTGTGTATAATTACTTGTTTGAAAAAAGGGTAAGTACACACAATGTGTGTATTTGTAATTAACTTTCTTCCCCCCATGCTCTTGTGTTTGGAAATTGTGCAGTTGTATGCCAGACACTGATCAAAAACAAAAATACTAGTAACTTAATATTCTTACATCTTAGTCTGATCCTATTGTCAAAATGCCTCAGGCTTTATTCAGGGAAAAAAAATGCCTCTGGGCTAAAACATTTTCAAAAATAATGATAAAAAATTGAGATTATTTTGTAATCTAAAGGTCCTTTATATGTTTATCTTCATTAGAACTATTACTTTAAAAACATCAGATTCTGATTCCTTTTATTCTGATTCCTTGCTTAAATGTATATAATTTGGTATATAATAATATTTAGGCAATGTGAAAGCAGGTCTTCTCCATAGTCAAATAATTCATCTTCAGAGAATTGGAACTGAAAAGTAATTTATGACTTGTCTTACTTTTTTAACTTCAATTTACCAACTATTTATGGAACACTAATTAGCTGTTCCTACTACTACTATGTGTTAAGCATTGAAGCTACAAAGAGTAAAAAGATCATCCTTGCTCTCAGAGGACAGACACAAATGAAAACAAATAAATGATAATATTGCATGAAAAGGGCAAGAATAAAAGTATGCACGAAGTTAAGAGGTAGTGTAGAGATGTTTAAATAACTAACTTTATCTTGGATAAAGACTTCTTAGAGTTGTCATCATCTGCCCTCTTTAATTTTTCCCTAACTGTATTTACTTAGAATATGCTCTGTGCTGGGATTTTAACACAAAGAAGTCACAGTTTCTTATCACTAGGAAATCAAATGTGGCAAAATCTATGTTGGAAGTGTTGTGTGTGTAATGGTATGGAGCCACAGATTAAGGAGGCTTTATGTTGTCCGTACTGTATAGTTTCATTAAGGATGATAAGGTCCTTTGGGTCAGAGAAAGCCACAGAGACACCAAGTGATCTTGAGCTAGGCCAAAAATAAAGAGCTCAATGGGTAAATAAGGGAGAGAATGAAGTTCCAGGCAATACACAATCCCAGTATATGCAAAGACAAAAAAGGTTTATTTAATATGTATGTGGGAGCAGCTTTATGCTGTAGAAGGAGAATGGGCTTTGGTCCAGTTCTGGTTCAATCATTTGCCCAGCAACCATGGGCAAGTTCCTCTGACTTTGACATTCAGTTTCTCCATGTGTAGAATGGAAACACTGTTACTAAGGATTGTTTTTTGTGGATTTAATGAGGAACATAAAGGACCTGCAATGTTCTCTAGTCTTCCAATCTTTATGCCAGTTTCTCATCAATTTGATTGTCTTAAGTTCTTTTTGTAGTAGAACAGCTCATGTGAACAATACAACCAGAAATTTTGTATGTTTGTAGCAGTTTGTCTTAAGATTTTCTTTTTTTTTTTTTAAGATTTATTTATTTATTATTTGAAAGAGAGTGCGGGGTGGGGAGGGAGAGAGAGAATCTCAAGCAGCCTCCCCACTGAGCACTGACCCTCATGCAGGGCTCAGTCTCATGACCAGAGCCAAAATCAAGAGTTGGATGCCTAACCAACTGAGCCACCCAGCTGCCCCTTAAGACTTTATTCTTGAATATCAGTTTGGCTGAATATAAATCCTCGGCTTACATTTCCATTCCTTGAATATTTTATTATATAAAACTCCATAGTATTCTGGCATAAAGCATAGCTATCAGAAATCTGATGACAATCTGATTTTCTTTTTGCTTCGATACTCAAAGGATATCTTTCTTTTTCCTTAAAGTTTTTTAAAAATATATTTTTCTAGTAGGTGCTATGTTTTGTTTTTTTTTTAAGATTTTACTTATTTGACACAGAGAGACAGTGAGAGAGGGAACACAAGCAGGGGGAGCAGGAGAGTGAGAAACAGGCTTCCCACAGAGCAGGGAGCCCAACGCGGAGCTCGATGCCAGGACCCCAGGATCATGACCTGAGCTGAAGGCAGACGCTTAACGACTGAGCCACTCAGGCGCCTCTGTTTTGTTTTGTTTTTTTCTAATAGTTAATTTGTTTTAGAGTAATCTGGGGTTCATAGCAATATTGAATAGAAAGGACAGTTTCATTATATCCCCTCCTCTGACATATGCACAGCCTCCCAGCCATCAATATCCCTTCTCCAGAGTGGTGCATTTGTTAAAATTGATGAACCAACATTGACACATTATGATCATCCCAAAACCATGGTAGACATTAAAGTACACTCTTGGTGTTATACTTTTCATGGATTTTGACAAATATATAATGATACATATCCACCATTATAATATCATACAAAACAGTTTACTGCCCTAAAAAAATCCCTGTGTTCCTCCCTCCTCTTGAACTCCCAGCAACCACTGATCTTTATACTATCTTATTAGTTTTGCCTTTTCTAGAATGTCATGGTTGGAATTATACAATATGTAACCTCTTCAGACTGGCTTCTTTAGTTAGTAAAATGCATTTACATTTCCTCCATGTCTTTTCATCATATGATACCTCATTTTTTTTTAGTGCCAAATAATATTACATTGTAGGGATATACCACAGTTTGTTTATGTAGATAGTTATTCTGTAGGTGTCATTCACAGATTGAAAGACATCTTGATTGAGTCCGAGTTTTGGCAATTATGAATAAAACTGCTATAAACATCTGTGTGCAGGTTTTTGTTTAGACATAAGATTTCACCACATTTGAGTAAATACCAAGCAACATGAATGCTGGATCATGTGGTAACAGTATATTTAGTTTTGTAATAAGCTGCCTAGCTGTCTTCCAAAGTAGCTTGCCTTTTTGCATTCCCATCAGAAATGAATGAGAATTCCTGTTACTCCACATCCTCAGCACCATTTGGTGTTGTCAGTCGTCTGGATTTTAGCCATTGTATTAGATTTGCAGTGGTATCACATTGTTGTTTTAATTTGCAGTTCCCAAATGGCATATGACGTAGAGCATTTTTTCATATGTCTATTTTCCATCTGTATTCGTCTTTGGTGAGGCATCTGTTCAGATCTTTAGTCCATTTTTAAACTGGGTTTTTCAGGTTTTTTTAATTGTTGAGTTTTAAGAGTTCTTTGAATGTTTTTGTTAACAGTGCTTTAAGTCTTTCTGTCTTTTGCAGATATTTTCTTTCAGTCTGTGGCTTATCTTCTCATTTTCTTGACAGTGTCTTTCATAGAACAGAACTTTTAAATTTTAGTGAAGTCCAGCTTATTAATTCTCACTTTGATGGATTGTGCCTTTGGTAGTATATCTAAAAAGTCATTGCCAAACTCAAGGTCATCTGGATTTTCTTCTGTGTTATCTTCTAGGGGTTTTAATAATTTTGCATTTTACATCTAGGTCTGTGTTCGATTTTGAGTTCATTTTTGTGAATGGTGTAAGGTCTGTGTCTAGATAAGTTTTGGGGGAAGGGAGGGCTGGGATGTCCAGATGTTCCAGTACCATTTATTGTAGAGAGTGTCTTTTCTCCATTGAATTGCCTTTGCTTTTTTGTTAAAGATCAGTTGACTGTATTTATATGGGTCTGTTTCTGAGCTATGTTCTGTTTCATTGATCTATTTGTTCTTTAACCATTAGCATACTGTCTTGATTACTATAGCTTTATACTAAGTCTTGGAGTTGGGTAGTATCATTCCTTGAACTGTGTTCTCCTTCAATATTGTGTTGGCTTCTCTGGGTCTTCTGTCTCTTCACATAAACTTTTAGAATTAGTTTGTTGATATCTGCAAAATAACTTGCTGGGATTTTGACTGGGATTGCATTGAATCCATAGATCAAATTGGGAAGGACTGACATCTTGACAGTATTGAGTCTTCCTATCCATGAACATGGAATATCTCTTTACTTAATTCTTCTTTGATTTTT